TAGCATATGGTGGGGCTGCTGCATTCGAATTCCGGAAACAGAGGAAAGTGAATGCTGGCACTCCCTCTTTATTTTTTCTCCTCAAAAACGTTTAGGTGTGTTTATTTTTTTAAAAACTTTTTAATGATTCTTTGTGAGTTTCACATCAATCACCCCAATCTCACTCATCTCCCCACTCCTTTGTATCAGCCCTCTGCCCTTGCAACCCCCCCCCCCCCAAATAAACAAAACAAAGCATAGAAAATAATTCATTCTGGAAGCTGTACCATGTTCCTGTGTGCCACAGTATACCCTTTTGTCCATACAGCTTACTTGCAAATGTTCATTGCAATGAGTCATTGGTCTGGTTTGTGGCCTCTGGCTTCTGGTACACCAGCAATACTGGATCCTCACTGGGACTCCTGTCAGGTAGTTTGTTGTTGCCTTGTGTCATGGAGATTCTGCAGCTTTGGATCTACAGGACCATCCTTGCCACATGTTCCAGCAGTTCATGGATGGGGTACATGTTGGGGTGGGTCGGGTCAAAGCCCTAGATCTGGGCCTGGGTGGGAGCTGAGCTGGTCAGCCCACCAGCTTTCCTGATCTCACAGCACCAGAGCAAGCTCTCCAGCACTGCTCCAGTAGCTCACCCAATGCTGCAGCCAAGGGGCAGGGGCAGCACTCTAGCTCAATGGCACCCTTGCCACCCTCCCTGCAGCTAGTGAGGGGCAGGATCAGCCTCTTGCTTTCTTGACCTGGGCCAGCTCTCCCAACTGCTGCAAGTGGTGAGGGGCAGAAAAAGCTCTCCTAACTGCCACAGGTGGTGAGGAGTGAAACAGAAGGCATTACCCCCGTGCTCCATGCCACCTAACAGCAGAAGTATTCCCTCTTTTTAAACAGTCTACAACCCTAGAATAGGAAATGGTGCCACCTTCCCTTAGGTACTACTTTTAGGAAGGCTTTTCCCATCTCAATGAACATAACCAAGACAATTCTCACAGGCACCCAGTGGTTCACCTGCTAATCCCTCACAGGCATGCCTGAAGGCATGTCTCCTAGGTGATTGTAATATAATCAAATTCACAATCAATAATCACCATCACTCCTATAATACATATAAAAAGTCTACAAGAGGGCCGCTAGAGAGAAAGCTTAGCAATTACTAACAGAGTACTTACTGTTCTATTAGAGGAGCAGAGTTCAGATTCCAGCAGCCAAATCAGGTGGCTTAAAAATGCCTGTAACTCCTGCTCCAAGGGATCTAGTGCCCTCTCTGGCCTCCGTGCATACCTGCTTTAACATACTTTCAAGAGACACATAGTTACATAAATACACTAAAACAAATCTTTTTTAAAGATTTATTTATTTATACATAAGAGCATTCTATTTGCACATATGACTGCATGACAGAAAAGAGCATCAGATTCCATTATAGATGGTTGTGAGCCACCATGTGGTTGCTGGGAATTGAACTCAGGACCTCTGGAAGAACAGACAGGGCTCTTAACCACGGAGCCATCTCTCCAGCCTAAAATAAATCTTAAAAAGAAAGAAAAAAGGCCACAAGAGAGGCCTGGTGCGGTGGCTTATGCTTCCAATTCTCACACTTACGAGTATGAGGCAGGAGCATGGCTGAGACTTTAGCCTGTGCTGCATAGCAAGGGCCAGCCTGGAATATGAGTGAGAGTTGTCAAAGAAAAAGAAAGGAAGGAAGGAAAAAAGAAAGGAAGGAGAGGAGGAGGGAGGGAGGGAGGGAGGAAGGGAAGAAAGGAAGGAGGGAAGAAAGGAAGGAAAGAAAGAGGGAGGAGGACATCTAGGGAACAGTAGATAGAAGAGCTAGACCTTAGTCCTCTCTCATGGCAGAGCAGGCCTGAACCCAGTCTTATCAACCCACACTCACTTTTAGTTGTTTGTTAGACTTCAAGGCCTGAAGCAGCTTGTGAAAAAGCTGTTCTGCATGCTGTTGAGGGGAAGCTTGGCTACGGAAAGTCTCATGTTAATACTTCATTAGAGATTTAAATTTATCTCTGTCCCCATGGGCCTTGTTTGTTCTCTCTTCCTCCTGCCTCCACCTCCCAAGTGTTGGGACATCTGAATGGTTTTATGGCTGGGGATGGAACCCAGAGCTTGCTGCATGGCAAGCAAGCATTTCATTTAGCTCATTTGTTCTCAACAGCAAATTATCTTTAATGTTCAGATTCTAATCACAAAGTTAAGAGCCATAGCATATTGCATTTAGGCTAAAAGATATCAAACTGTGAATGTAATCAGATTGTATGCAGTCTTACTTTAGCAATTGGAATGATTCTTGGATTTGAACATTGCTCTTGTTCTGCTCATGATTAGAAGCTTATATTTTAATAGTGGATACTGTTGTCAAGCACACCTTTCCCCCTTTAATCGTATGAAAAAAATTCAAATTTACTTAATTTAAAAACAATTTAGGGAACAAAATATTGACTGAAAAGCTCTCTACTAAAGTCAAACTCTAAGGACAATAAGCATTATATTTGGTGAAATATATCCTATAGACATGCTTTATCACTTATCTGTTACACTGGATGCTTACTTTTATACATTATATGAGTAATACATATTTCATTGTAGCAGTGGCATCAGAAATAATTTTTTTTCACTTACAAGATGTATTTATTTATTATAATAATGCAGCATTCTACCTTCATGTGTGCCTGTGCACCAGATATCACTATAGATGGAAATAAATCACCATGTGGTTGGTGGGAGTTGAACTCAGGACCTTTGGAAGAACAACCAGTATTCTTAACCTCTGAGCCATCTCTCCAGCCCCAGTTAATAAAATTTATACAACAAGAGAGTCACTGTGTATACCATATTTTTGAATCAGTAAGCCTCAGGGACAATAGTATATACATGTTAGGTGAGTCCAAGGGCTTGAACGCAGGTCGTCTAGCAGGCACCTTTAGGTGCTGAGCCATCTTGCTAGCTCAATGATAAAATACTAAACTTGTAAACAGTAGGCATCAACAATGAGTACTTGAGTTTAAGTAGTAACATATGTAACAAAGCTGAATTTGAAAACTTTTGCCAGTAAGATTAGGTAGGGTATCTTCCATATTTTACCTAGAAGCTTAAGGGAGCGGTAGGCCTAAAATTTAATTAAATAAAACACATTATCATCTTGCAATTTATATTGTGTAAGATGATGGAACCTTGACAGGAGGAAATTAAAACAGCAAAAGCTTCACGAATGCTTATTTAGTACTGAGTATCACCACCTGCTTGTCTGTGTGCATAATCATCAGAGAGCTGTAACAAGCCGGGTCTTAGAACATGGGCAATCACAAAGGAGACACGTAATGATTACAAATAAAAAGAACCACATGCTCAGGAGTGCTCATTTAATACTAAATAGCTACCACTGAGCTGATGCTTGCTCTCTGCATAGAATCCTCACGACCACCTGAGCATTTAGAGGCTTTTATTCCCATGTACAAAGTCCTGCAAACATCACAAAACATTTAACTGTCCAGAACAGAATCAAAAGTTGTGCAGGACATGATGGTGCATGCCTTTAATCCCAGGACTGGGGAGACAGAGGCAGGCAATTGGAGGACAGTGTGCTCTGCACATTGAGCTGCAGGTCAGCCAAGTGTGAGACTGAAACAGGAACAACACACCTTGCAAGTTAAGGTTTCTGTTTGCAGTAAGATAGTTAAGAATATGTTCTTGTTGGTCCTGTGTTAAGTCCTTGCAAGTTAAGTTTCTACACCAAGCTTGGGATTCACATGACGCATATCCTTACCCTTGTTTCTTCCCTTTCATTGTATCTAACAATGTGTAACAGCCAGTTCTCTGGACTCTGAGAACAACTTATCTCTCCTATAAAAGGAATTTCAAGAGAATGGCAGGGGCTGTTCTCTCAAACCCTGAGTTAGCGTGAGGCAGCTGGCCGACCAGTCCCTGTGCACCCCAAAATAAACCTTGCTCTTATCGGACAAAATGGATTCTCAGGTTTAACACAAGATTAGACAGTGAGACCCTGTCTCAGAAAACAAAACAAAATTAAAGTTAATGAATGTATTGTGTGTGTCCAAGACAGGATTTCTTTGTGTAGCCTTGGCTGTCCCATCAGTAGTTTAGGCTGGCTTGGAATTTACAGAGATTCGCCTCCTTTTACTTGTGTGCTGGGATTAAAGACGAGTGTACCACTGCCCTGGTAAATGAAAGTCCTTTTTTTTCTTTCTCTTTCTTTCTTTCTTTTTCTTTCTTTCTTTCTTTTCCTTCCTTCCTCTTTTTCTTTCTCTCTTCCTTCCTTTTCTCCTTTCTTCCTTTTGTCTCTCTTTCTTTCTTTGTCAGGGTCTTGCTTTATAGCTCTGGCTGGTCTGGAAACTCGCAATGAAGACCAGGTAGTTAGTTCTGCCTGCTTTTGCCTCGAGTGCTGGGATGAAAAGTCACCACCCCCGGCCTGGAGTTGTCTGATTTAGCACTTATCCTTGTTTCTAAGAGACGTTACGGAGGATCTCAAATTTGAGGCCAGCGAGTCGTAACAATATAGCGAGTTCCTGTTTGAGACTAGAAAAGAGGGAAGTGGTGAATGAGAGAGAAACGAAAGCATCCCGCCGGGCTCCTGGGGCTGCAACTGGAGACATGGAATAAAGAGGAGGTTTGAAACAGGTGTAGGTGTATCTAAGGCCTAGGAGCAATGACACATCAAGCCTCGGCACCTCCAGGTGGCTTTCGGTCTTCGCTTCCGGCTGCCCCACTCCTCCCCACTGCCATACAACCGCACACCCGCCGGCCTTCACCTGCGGGCCACTACTACAGCGGTGCCGGCCGCGCCCTAGGTCCGGAGACACCTGGGACAGAGGCACCTCCCCGCACCCCTTGCGTAGCGCCGGATGCAGAGAGGGCGTGTCCACGGTGGCTAAATCTCATTGGCCTTCTCGGCTGCCAATCGCAGTTCGCCTTTTCCTCTGCGCCCTCCCGCTTGGCTCTGCTGCCGGGCGGGGACTTCCGGCTTGGGAGGAGCGACGGTCCGAGGGCGGGGCCGTGTGGAGGAGGAAGCAGGCCAGGCCGGGCGGCGGCTCTCCAGGGCGAAACCATGGACAGCCAGGGCAGGAAGGTGGTGGTGTGCGACAACGGCACTGGGGTAAGACCCCGCGGGCCGGCCGCGTGTGTGTGAGGGGTGCGCGCGGACCCTCGGCTGAGGGGCTGGGCTGCGGGGGCTCGGACAGGCGCGCGGGAGGGCTCTCGGGGGATGCGGGCAGGCGCGCGGGAGGGCGCTCGGGGGCGCGGGCCGGCGCCGAGTCGGTGGCCCGGAGCTAGGTTGCCCGGAGTGCACCCGAATGCGGCGAAACCTGTCCCCACGCGCCCCCGACCATCCGCCCGCGCCCCGCGTCCCGAAAACCGTGGCCCGGTGTGGGTCTAGGTAGGCAAGAGGCCCCGTTCCTGGGTGGCGAGGAGGTCTCCATTTCCGAGCCTCGCCCGTGTCCATCCAGGACCCAGCGGCCTTCCTCTTCCTGTGTAGCTGAAGATGCCGAGTGCGAGGCAGGAAACGGGTTCCGCAGAGAAAAGGGGAAGTGCTGTCAGGCCCTGGGCCGCGGCCCCAGCTCTCGGCTTCGCGTCTGCTTCAGGAGAGTGTGTGGGCTGTCAGTGTTGCCTGTGGTTTTGAGAGAGGGGGATGGTCGGCGGCTCCTGGTTCACCTTTTGCTTTGCATGCATAGACCTTCTCTGTGGGAAGACTGAGGAGACCTAGGACCTCTCCTGTTGTTACTTCTAATGGGAAGTAGGTCAGTTCTGGTTCCTCCTCTCTGTCTCTTTATTCTGTTTAAGTGCAGGATACAGATGTTGGTCTTGAAGATCCTAAAATTTTCAAAATCAGACTAAAGTGCTGATTTAGAAACTCTTTGCAAGTGGTTTCTATCCCCATTCAAAATGTGTTAGGGGCATTAAAGTCCCAGTTTTGAAGATGAAAATGTTTCTTTAGAGTGAATTCTTTAGTGATACCTAGCTATGCGAGTGCTGCAACATTTGTGACTTTTCTCATCACTGCCACAAAAATGACACACAAATTAAAATAGATTTTCCTTGAACTACCTCTTTGGAGCCTGATTGTTGAGGGGGGGGAAGCAGCTGATATTCACTGCCATTCTACTGCCCTTGAATGAATTTATTACGAATTTTGACAATTATTGTGCCGGCTTCATTTAAGCTAAGTTAAAGCTGGACTAGAATAGGATAAGTGTCAATACAAAGGGACATCCATGCTACTGTGTAGTAACATGCCAAAGATTTAGTAACTTCAAGTTCTTTTGTTTGAGCGTTTGTTTGTTTGTTCCTCTGTGTGGCCTTGGCTGTCCTGGGGTCACTTTGTAGACCAGGCTGGCCTCGAACTCACAGAGATCCACCTACCTCTGCCTCCCCGAGTGCTGGGATTACAGGCGTGCACCACCATGTTTATTTAAACAACAACAATAAAACCACTACCTTACTACCAAAGAAATGTGTCAGCAGTTAAGATCACTTGTGCTCTTGACTTAAGTTTGATTCCTAGCATCAGTGTGGCAGTTCAAAACCATCTGTAGCTCTAGTTCCAGGGTGTCCAATGCCCTCTTCTGGCCTTTGTGGGTACTAGGCACACCCATGATACACATACAAACATGCCAGTAAAATACAAATCACCTAAAATAGCAGTAAGTCGTAAAAAGGACTGAAGTGGTGGCATACTCCTTTTAGGCCAGCACTTGAGAGGCAGACACATGGCTACATGGTGAGACTTTTTTTTTTTTTTTTTAATTCTATTTCTTAGGATAAAAAGATTAGTCACTATGGTGTAAATGAAAGGAGCTAATTCAAACAAAAAGTTTTGTATTTGGTATTCTTGTAGTTGCTTATAAATGTTATCCACCTTTTCTGTAGCCATGGTTGGCTTGTGAATGAAATAGTTCATTCATTCATTCATACACACACACACGCACATATATATTCATAGATAGCTATGACTTATATCACAGGAATATTGTGATGTTTCTAAAAAATTTTGAGACTAATAGCTATTTTGTTTCTTAACTACTTACTGTTCTGGAGTCATCTTGGTTTTATTTGGGTACTTAAAGTTATAATGATGTTTTTACAATTAAATATTTAAAAAGACATAAAGATTGGATTTTTTTTTTTTTTTTTTTTAATAATGGAAAAGGGGTTAGAGAGATGAGTCAGTGGTTAAGTACCGGACCTTGAATCCCCAGAACCCATATGAAGCTTGGACTGCAACACCAGTGCTTCCCCCACAAGGTAGGACACAGACAAAGCTTTTGAGCTAGCTGGCACTGTGTGTATGCAGAAGTGGACAGGAAAAGAGACACCATGTCTCAAACAGGGTGAAAGGTGAGGATCACCACTTGATATTGGCCTCTCGTTTCTATATGTATACCATAGCATGCATTCACCTACCCTTTCACCCATGAGCCTTCACACCCATACACTCACACACTCATGGAACTCATTTCCTAGAGTGCTTGTCTGATGTTTGAGAAACCAGGGTGACTATCTGCAGCAGTAAACAACCAAATGTGCTATATACCTGTAATTCTTGCACATGGGAGCTAGATGCAGAAGTATCTTAAATCGCTAGTCAATAGTGGTTTCATTTACCTTTTGTATACTAGATTTTAAAATGTGGGCTATTTGAGAAGTTTTTTAGGTATGATGCTGGGGATAAAATCCAAGGATTTGGACATGGGAAGTAAATGTACTTTCTGAGGTGTATCCCCAGCACTGAGAAGTTAAATTAAAAAAAAAAAAAGCTTTGTTATATTTTTATGTGTATAGGTATTTTGCCTGCATGTATGTATGTGCGCCATCTGTATGCCTGGTGCCTGTGAGGGTTCAGTCTCTGGTAACTGACTTATAGATGGTTGTAAGGCACCATGCGGGTACTGGGATTGGCAAGAGCAAGTGCTTTTAACCACATCTCTCCAGCCCCAAGAAGTCAAGTTATTTTTTTGTTTTTTTTTTTTTTTAAGATTATGTACACCTTCACACCAGAAGAGGGCACCAGATTTCATTATAGATGGATGTGAGCCACCATGTGGTTGCTGGGGATTGAACCCAGGACCTCTGAAAGAGCAAACAGTGCTCTTAACCTCTGAGCCATCTCTCCAGCCCCAAAGTTAAGTTTTTAATTCTGACATTCTCATAATTGGATACTGGAAGTATAGGTATGTCCTTTTTATCACCTAGATGTTACATTTGCACTATTTTCCCATTACCCACCCCTAGACCCTTGTTTGAGCAGCCCAGAGAAAGAAACCTGCTTTTTAGAATAGGGCTTCTGGGGGCTGGAGAGATGGCTCAGTGGTTAAGAGCACTGTCTGCCCTTCCAAAGGGCATGAGTTCAATTCCCAGCAACCACATGGTGGCTCACAACCATCTATAATGTGAACTGATTCCCTCTTCTGGCAGGTGTAAATGCAGATAGAACACTCATATACATAAAATAAATAAATCTTAAAAAAAAAATTATAAAAAAATAGAATAGGGCTTCTGAAAGTAGCCATTTGGGCAAAAGTCTGGATACCTCTTAGCTGGGAATTTTGATTCCTTTCAAATTGGTTTTATCAAACATCAATAAGACCCTGACATGAACTCAGTGGCTGGTTCTTTGATCACCTCCCCCTGAGGGGGGAGCAGCCTTACTAGGCCACAGAGGAAGACAGTGCAGCCAGTCCTGATGAGACCTGATATGCTAGGGTCAGATGGAAGGGGAGGAGAACCTCCCCTGTCAGTGGACTGGGGGAGGGTCATAGGAGGAGATGAGGGAGGGAGTGAAGGTGGGATTGGGAGGGGATGAAGAAAGGGGCTATAGCTGGGATACAAAGTGAACAAACTGGAATCAATAAAAAATAAATTAAAAAAAATCAATATGAACTCACCAGCAGTGACTTCATTCACCAACAAAATGTAGCTTTCCCAATGTTAAACATAGATATTTATAATGCTAAAAGAACGTTTCACTTAAAATTCACAATTATAGTTGATTGTAGTCTATTTTATCATCCTTCTGCCAGCTTATATGTTAAATTTAGTAGTATTTTAAGTAAAAACAAAACAAGAACTTCAGTTTCATCTTGTGAAAGGCATAGGTCTAATAGAATAACCATTGGCCTCAAATAATGGTCAATGAAGTTGAAATACAAGTACCACCAATTATTAAGGGAAAGGATACAAAGCAAATGAGCTCAAATGGGAGCTTAAAGATCTCAGTGAGTGTGATGGAGCATGTCTGTAATTCCAGTGCTTGGGGCCGGAGGCAGAAGGATCAGCAATTTGAGACTGGCTTGGGCCATGTGAGGCCTTGTCTCAAAAGACAAGAAAATCCTGCTTGGTGCTACTTCCAGCACTTGAGACTAAGGCAGGAGAATCACCACATTCAAGAGTAGCCTGGTCTACATCGGGACATCCTGTCTCCAGAGGCCCAGGGATGATTACACAAGAGGTGGTGGAGAGCATGTTAGAGCCCAAAGCTGTGGGTGAGCACAAAGAAACAGTGCTGCTGTACTCTTAGGACCGCAGTGTTTGTGACAGCAAGCACATAATCAAGTTCCAGCCTGGAGTGGAGTTGGGCAAGAAGCTCCATCCTAGCCAAAGGGCTCTTGGGAATTCTTTTTTGTTTGTTTAAATTTTTTATTTTATTTATTTATTTTTTATTTTTATTAATTACACTTTATTCACTTTGTATCCCCCCCATAAGCCCCTCCCACCCCCTTCTTCACGCATGCCCCTCCCCAAGTCCACTGGTAGGGGAGGTCCTCCTTCCTTCTGATCTTAGTCTATCAGATCTCATCAGGAGTGGCTGCATTGTCATATTCTGTAGCCTGGTAAGGCTGCTCCCCCCTCAAGGGGAGGTGATCAAAGAGCAGGGCAATCAGATTATGTCAGAGGCAGTCCCTCTTTCCATTACTATGTAACCCACTTGGACACTAAACTGCCATAGGCTACATCTGTGCAGGGGTTCTAGGTTATCTCCATGCCTGGTACTTGGTTGGAGTATGAGTCTCTGGGAAGACCCCTGGGTTCAAATTTCTGGTTCTGTTGCTCTCTTTGTGGAGTTCTTGTCCTCTCCAGATCTTGCTATTGGGAATTTTTAAC